CCACTCTCCTCATCTTGTTCTTCTCCTCTTCCATCACCATGGTCACCTTTTAAGGATCCAAATCCACAATCTCAGATACAAACACTAAACATCTACAGTAATGACAATGATAACAATGAGAGATACCCACCATTATTGTATTCTTTCATGACTACCAAGAAAAATAATCAATGTATGGCTTCTCTTGAGAAAAATGATAGTTCTTCATCCAAGAAATTGGGTCTGCAGTTATGCACAGAGAGACTTGGATTTGGGGGCTCTGATGGTGTTGATAATAATTCCAAGGATGAAATTAGTGATAATTGGAAAGGAAAAGGGAAGAAGGCGACTGGGCAATCCATCTGGAGAGTTTGGAAGATCCAGAATAACTAGTAAGTCATTCCCTCCTCCTACTTGTATTTTTACCTGCAAAAAGCCTCTTTTTCTATTCAACTTTTATCAATATATAGAAGATTCACTCTTAAATAGATTGGAATTTCCACTTGAGAGCATGCAGATAGAAGTTATGAACATCTGAAGCATCACTATGTTCAGCTAGAAGGAATCAATGAGGAAGAGGAGGAGAAGGTGGAGGAAGTGCATAATAAAGAAGATAGTGCCAATGGACTAGAGAGTGAAAACAATGATACACAGAAAACCTCAGTTCAGGATGATGAGTTGTGAACCTAAGGTATGCTTGGAAAGAAATCAAAAAGAGTTGTAAGATTCACAGTGGCCAATTATTGTTTGTAGGGATGTACTGCACCATGCTGTGCTAAAATTCTTTCCTCTTTCTACTAAATTTGATTGGATTGATTGTTCAATTTACATGAAACATATCGGATGACTGAAAGAAAGTGTGAAATATGACTGATGGAAATTTGGAAATTAATTAAAATGCATACCATTTTAGAAAAAGAAAAACAAATTATATTGTTTCCTTTCTTGTTTGGTAATAATTTTCTTCCTTAATTGGATAGGACTGTTGCTAGCACAACAATCCCCCTATAAGTATATTGGTGGGGGTCTTTGGCCCCCTGAACATTTTGTTAAAACCATTATTTATATGGTTACTAAGTGGAGGCTGCGTCAAAAACGTAGTAAAGTGAGTCCTTGGCCTTTGGAGAGGCGGAGCCAGGATTTTTTTTTTTTATTGTGTGTATGTGTGTGGGGGGTTAAACGATATAGATGGGACCAACCATCCATGAAACATTGCGAATCTGCTACCCACAAATTGTTTTCACATCGTACCCATAAAACACCATCATTGTGTATTGGGAACATCTCCCCATAAATGGACAAGGGAGATATTCGAGATGCTCAGCTGTAATTACTCGTGGATAGGGATGTGGGAACAACTTGTGTGTAACATATCCAAGCCCCAATAAAGGATGCCACTATGTGTAAAAAAATGCTAATGAATAGTAGTACTGTACCTTTTTTTTTTGTTGGTGATGAGGACTTCTGACTCTATCTCTTACCTAATAGAAAAAAGTCTATTCCTTTCAAGACCAAGATGTGGCCTTTTAATAATATTAGTGATGGGCTTCGAAACATAGACTCTAAAGTTGGGTTTGATAAGTTTGGGCCACAATGGACCTAATACTTTGTAGGAAATAAGAAGTGACAAGCTTTAGGTTGGGCAGAGCCAATAGCTCCAAAGCGAACCGAGCCAATTGTATAGGGTCTCGATCTGTATTATGTGTCCCAATCATAATTCGGTTGGGACTTTGGGATCAATTTTGGTTGTTCCAAAACAACAAGACCCGGAGTGGTTATATATATAATTATGTTATGTATGTGTATTGGCATTTTACAAAGTACCATAAAATTACGTATTTTTATCATGATATATTTGTAATGTTATCATATTATGATATTTAAAATTCAAATGTGTTAATTTAACAAAAGAGTCCAATTATGATGCATTCACTAATATTTTGATCTCAAGCAATTACATTAAAAACATCACATAATTAGTTTATTTTTCATTGGTTCATGTTTCATATATTGTATTTTTACGTTAAATAAAGTGTATTTATTAGGGGTGTTTCTGGATCGGTTTGATTCAGTTTCAAGCCATTTGGCCAATAGAACTGACTTGGTTGGATTGAAAAACTAGTCACCCAAAACCGATCGACCACTAGCGAAAACCAACCCTATTATAAAAAATTGGTTTGAGTTGATTTATCGGTTTAAAAGACAGCCTAGAAGTAGTTGTTCATTATGTTTTCAATAGATAAAAATCCTTTACCATTGAAAAAAAAAAAAAGATAAGAGTCATATATTGAATTGTGAAGTAAGTAAGGTTTTCACTGTGTAAAATTGAAATATTAAATAAGATTATGAAAACCATTTGCTTTATACAATTGGAAAAAGTGTTTTCCAACTTTTCTATATTAAAAAATTAAATTTAAAATATTAGAGGGTTTTGGTTGGTTTATGCACGCCCAAATTAAAACCAACCCGACCTCTTTGGTTAGCAAACTTAGTATAATGTATGAACTGAAACCAACTCTAAGTAGTTGAAAACCAGCCAATTTAGATCAAATTGTGTCGGATTGATCAGTTTAATCCATGGTTTTAAAAAATGACCTGAAAACATAACCATTCTAGCCATTGGTTTCCGGGTTGACGGTTCGAATGGACGGCCCATTCTAACAACAAAAATATAAAAAATGGACAAAACCGTTGAACGGTTCAATGGATTGACAGTTCGACCACCCGGGTCAATGGATCATTGACTGATTCAACAGTTTTTGGCCAGGTACTGGGTTTGGGGCAAAACGGAACCGGTTGCCTGGACGGTACCCGGGCCAAACGGTCCAATTGTCCGAATCAATGACGGTTCAAAAACCATGGTTTAATCAGTTTCATGACCAACTTTAGTATTTACCATTAAGACTTTAACAATGCTAAAAATTCAGTGTTGCACCATAGATTTTGCCTCTAACAAATAAGTAGACCCAGTTATAATTGTCAATAGGAGTGGCAACGAGCCGAGCTTTTCACGAGCTGCTCGAGATCGGCTCGACTTGGTTTCAGTCGAGCTCTCCCGCCCAATTTAGTGGCTCGATTATTAAATAAGCCGAGCTCGAGCCTACTAGAGCTCGGCTCGTGAGGCTTGCACGCCGACTCGAATATATATATAATAAAATTATAGAAAATAATATATATAATAAAAATATTATAATTATTAATTATTATAATTCTTAAATTTTTAAATATAAAATAAAAGAAATTTTATATATAATTTTTATTTTTATAAAATATTTTTATAATAAAATATATAATAAAATATTTTTATAAAATATAAAATGAGTCGAGCTCAAGCTCAAGCCTTGTAGAATAGTCTCAAGCCTAATACTATTCGGCTCAGCTCGGCTCAAATCCACCCCTAGTTGTCAATTATAATCAGACCTACCAGGTAACATCTTGATCAGGAATTCGTTTTGACTCGGACCTAACCAAGCCTGAGAAGATATACCTGAAAGAATCTTGTCTGTAGGGATGTCAATGATTTGGGTTAATCATGGTCTGACTCAATCCAGCCTAAGCTCAAACCAACCCAAACTTAATCCAACCAGACTAAATAGAGAGAGATTACCAGTAGGTGTTTGGCATCAATGTCGTTTCTTCAAAAAACAACACCACATCAGTGCTATATCTAAAATCTATTTTTTGGAAAATGCTTGATGTTTGATTAGCCGCTTTTTCAAAAAACATTTTCTCATACCACACCTTGAAAATTAGGAAATGTGTGGTCTTAGAAAATGCCCTTGTTTTCTTATTTTTTCTATTTTTGTTAACAATAATATACTGACATGGCATTGAAAACACCTATAGGCAGCAACAGTAATAGTACCAAATAGAAAATCTGAAACAAACAAACTTTTTTTGAGAAACAGCATGCCTATGCAGCATTGTTTTCTTAGAAAATGCCTCTCAAGAAACGGCATCTATTCCAACACCGCCCGAACCTCACATCCAAACCGTCCCCATATATCATATATGATCATTTCAATGGATTGGGCTTAACCGGATCTACCTCAACCAGCCCCGACCCAAAAACCCACTCATGCCCAAAGCAACCCTAACCCGATAGGGTCGGGTCAATGCGGGTTTACCAGACCAACTTGTTTGTATGAGAGACTGGACAATGTATTCACAACCACAAATTGTAAGATGAGGTTATTGAGATCTCAACATCAGTCAGCCAGCCACCTAAAAAAACCCTAAGTGGGCGTTTTGCCTTCCACTTGGATTGAATGAATATGACCCCATTTAGATCCTTGTGGGGGCTTTCGCCACAAGCTTTTGGGCTTTTTTAGGTGGATTGTTTAGTTAGCTTCAACCTAATTATTATCTTAATCTTGAAAGCATATACAGATTTCCAAAGCTGTTTAGCAAAACAAGCTTCCGCGCGCTATTTCTATTTATCCTGGTTTCCATACTTGTCAAATCCAAGCCGTTCCCATGTCCTTTTCCACGTCATTTGCCACCTGGCAACTTCAATACTTCCTTAAGACTTAAAATTTCCATACAAGATACAACCTCTTGTTTAGACTTTACGGAGGCTCCCCTCAAAACCATGGGTACTCTGGTTTCAACTTCAGATTTAACACCCCACCCAATAATAATTAGATTGAGATAAACTGCCGAAACGTGCCTAATAGGTTATTATTAAGTTTTGTCTTGTTGGCCAGATTTAGCCTAAAACACTACTTGACTGAGTCAACCCAACAGCCCGACCGGGTCGAAAACACTACTTGACCGAGTTAACACCTTGTTTTGTTTGTTTGGATTTTGGAATCCATCCGTTCTTTTTCCTCATCTACAAGGTCGAGTCGGCTCGTTGACTCAATTGATTGACATATCATGGATGGTCAGCTTAGCTTGAGCGTCCATACTTCGAATGAGTAAGATACCCACATCCACCACCACCGTCACAAAATGGACCCCTCCTCCTCCTCCACCACCACCACCACCACCGCCACCATTATGGGTATGGAAAAAAAGTATTAGTAGTTGGAGTTTTCGTTGGTATGATCTCATTCAACGGTAGACCTCTCTCATGGTACAGTATACAAAACAATCATGTATACAGTTAATATACAACGTCTTTCATGGTCATGGGCTAAGGAAAAGTAATAATAATAAATAAACTGCAGACCTCTCCAGCTCTGTGTATTTTAAACAAACAAAAAAAGAGCTTTCCAAAACCAGAAAAGAAAAAAAAAGAGAAGGAAAATTTCTAATTTAAATCACTCCCTTCGCCCTCTGGTATGCTTTCCAACACAGGTCTCCACCCTTTACAACTTTCACTGTTGTCATCAACAACACCAGCTTTGCTTTGTCTGCTCTGGAGGTGAGCGACTATTTCATTAACTGAGATTCCTCCTTTGGCTAGCATCTCCCTGAGCTCTTGCTTAGTGATGACTAGCTTAATCCTCACAACACCGGTTCTTTGTCGAGGTTCTGCGGTTGGGCTATTACTCGATACCATTGGCACCTTCCTGACGAACTGGGTCGACGGCAGAGGTGGTGGAAGAAGATAATAGAGGCGGCCACTGAGCATATCTATCTGAGGAGCAAGATGCCTGACGACCGGAAGCGTGTCGGAGATTGAATGACCGGCGAACTCCGATAAGACCTGATGAACTTTGAGAGGTGGTTTGTACTCAAGCACCTTCCCGTCCGTCTTCATGACCTTGATAGACTCCTCCGGCAGAAGTAAGCAGTTTCCCATGGTTTTTATGGCAGTAAGCAACTGAAATTTCAAGCTCGTAGTCGTAGGGAGATTTGATTTCTGAGGGTGGAAGCTGAAGGAATGAATGAATGGTTGTATTTAAGGTGAAAGTCTACAAAAGTTGCCCATTAATATATGCAAATATTACAGAAAGGACCCTACCCCACCATGGCCCCACCTCCCTGATTTCTTTTCAATACTACCGAAAAAGTTTACTCCGCTTAGCCCCACTTTTGATGGGCCCCACCCTTTATGTTGGTTCTTTGTTCCCCCCTGTTATTGACAGGATATGTTATTTTATTTAATTTCTTGGCCTTACAAATTCTGAAACTCTACTCAATAAACCAAAATTCGATTTTAACCGAATATTCAATCAAAAATTTTAATATGGGTTCAATCGATCTTTTTTCTTTACAATTTTGATTTATTGGTCAGATCCGATGTGAGTTTGATTCAATCCGAACTCTACCTGCATGATGAAATGATGAGATACCCGCCCATCCCACAAATAATACGCCTGTGCTCAGTCAAGGCTATTTTTACACATGTTTAAATGCTAGTATGCCAATGGGTCGGGTTTGGCACAGGCCAACCTCAACCCAAAACCCAATGTCAAAACTGATCCAACCCTAAATTGATAGGGTTGGGGGTGAAGGCGGGTTTATCGGTTAGCCGGATCCCTTGACATCAATTATGAGCCCTCCAACTCCAACGTGTCTTACACATGGAATGAAAGGAGGGCTTAAGAAGGAGTTCACATCTCCGCCTCATAATGCTTTACAGTACTTTTTGCCATGTATTGAAAGCATCTTCTGATGATGGCATCATTGATTCTGATATATCATTGGGAGATAGATGTTCCAAATATACCACAGAAATGTGTTGTAGAGCATTGTGGGGCAGAGATGTGGTCTCCTTAACAAGTTATCCGACAAAGGTTGCAACTGCAATCCACTGAGCCTGAAAGACCCAAAGAACTTCCACCGGATCCACACTGTCTAATTAAACCAGAACATTTGGAATTTGGAAATCCATATTCTCCTGGTATATGTATTGAATTTATTAAAGCTAGAATTTTAATCCCCAAATCATGGTTTTCAAAACTGTACTGGATTAAACGGTTGGACCAGAAAAATCGGGAACCAGTCATGTGACTGATTCTGTTTTACCCCAGAACCATTATTTTCCTCAAAATCCTTGATTTAATCAGCAAACCATTGACTTGAGTGATTGAATCATTCAACGGTTTAGCTGGTTTTTATTTTAAAATTTCTTTTTATCAAAACAGACCATCTATTTGATTTGAACGATCGAACCGTTTATCCCAGAAACAGACCTCTGACCGATACATTATCTGGATCGGTTTTAAAAAACCTTACCCCAAATCGCTCATTGGGGACCCATCTCTTGCTGCCAAGAAAACCTAATACAACCAAAGCACCAACACCAATCATCATTATCATATTCACAGCATTTGTTTCCTTTGGCATTGGCAGATTACAATCGGTGACTCAGGGTCAAGCCAATTAGGGTTCATACAATTTGGACTACTAAGTGGGTTGTCATCCTATCCACCATTGTTGTAGTGGAAGAAATTTTTGGATCCACTAGGACCATTGAAACCCTAAATGGTGGTTGACCTTTGGGACAATTAATAGTTTAATATGGTTTCAAAGTTGAATAAAGGCAGCGTTCTATTAATTCTATCAATTTAATTTATGGGAAAATCTATGATGAAAGAAAGACATAATAGTCAAAAAGCTTTGACCAATCAAAGTACATTCGTAAGTTTTGATAAATATCATCTGTTTATGATACTTGTTGATTGGTTGCAAATTTTTGAAATATGATGTCTTTACAGTATGGTAGGCAAACTCTGCCCTTAATTTATTCAACAAGTTGGTAATAATATGCCTAAGAGAGACATAATGCCTCAATTAACCTATTTAACAAATATGTCAATCAGAAAATGTATTAAACTTAGTTCTATTAATTCAAATTGATTAATTTAATGTCAGAACTGGATTAATACTTAATATAAATAAAAATAAAATTTAGAAAATTACATACCTTTTGAAATACTATTAACATATATACATCCATAAATATCGGCCCTTTGAAATAATGCGATACATAATATTTTATCATATGTATTGATATTTTAAACCTTGGTAATAGATAATAGGCACTTGAAGAGGAATAAAAGCACTATTACTTTCTTTTTCTTTTTCTTTTTGGTGCATTTATGTGGGGTGAGGCATGGCTTTAAGTAATGCCTATGTATCATTAATTATGAAGATTAGAATAATAGAAAAAGTGGTGACTTTCAATGTAATTTGAAATTTGAGTTGTGGTCACTTTGAAGGGGACAGAGGAAAACATTTGTATGGTGACTGACTAATAATACAATTGAGATAAGGCATATATGGTTTGTATAGAATTAGATTAATTGAGAGAAGAGACTTACCGCTCCCTTAGTGCGCGTGTGATGTTGTCAACACGCAAGCTGATGTGTGGGCGTTTAATTATTGAACATAGAGTACACCAAGCTAATTAAAATTCAGTCTTTTATAGACAGATTTCCAAGACCCACTTCTTATAGTCCATAGTCCTAGTTCCCCAAAACATCAATGAATATCGCATGATTTTTAAAACTGGATCGGACCGGTAATCGGTCACTTGACTGGTTTTGTTTTGTTTTTTTTTTCTAAATCACTTTTTTTTTTTTAAATCGTTGATTTTGGTCAGCAAACTGCTGAACTGGCTGATTAATCGTTCGAACTGATAATTAGACTCCTGACCGGTCCAATCACTGGATTAGTTTTAAAAACCATGGAATATCGAGTTGATTTAATGAATTATGTATTCAAATCGGGTAAAGTTTCCCACAGATTCAAAGAAAAAAAAAAGAATGAAAGAAATTGCAGATCACATAAATTAAATCAAACCCCAAGCAATTTATTCATTGAATATTCTATGTATGCATGGAAGTAGAGATTCAAATCGGGCAACCCGACTTGAAGAATTTTAACTACATCAAGCTTGGATTAGAGTTCGGGTCCATTGAAAACTTAACAAATTCCCAATTCAACTCGACCAAATTGCACCCCTACATGGAAGTGGGACTCAATTGGATTGATGGGATTATTGCAACCATTGATCGATCTCAATTCTTATCAAGATCGTGATCATTCAACTACATATGTTGGTTTTTGGTTTAGGGCATTTGATAATGGCTGAAGTGGCTGAACTGGATCGTGAATAATACACTTTTACATTATAATATATTTGAGGCTAAATCAATTTCAGCTTCAGCCATTTAGGAACTCACAACCTACTTAATAACTTAATTAGCTAAAAGATAAAGGACCATTCAATTGATCCACTTTTAGCTGTTAGGAAACGGCACCTCAACTTCCTCCATGTCTATACTTTAATAATGAAACCTGTAGATCCTAACTACAGTCTATAAGAAAAGGACATTAGATCATTTAATGAAGAAAACCTTGTAGAAGGAATATAAAATGAGATTGCTCAGGTCATGAACTGAAATCCAAAAAAGCACCCTGTTCACAGAAAAGGAAATAATGGACTTCTATGGGTTTCAACCCCCCTTTAACAATTTGATTTAATACACTTCTCTCTCATGTACACGTGGCAAGCTTCCATAGCTGACTAGATGGCCCATGATACAACTCAGGTAGGGGGAAGGTACATCTTCTGAAAGAGACCATTCAAGAAAAGAAAGGAAGAAAGAGAGGAGTTCATCTTATCTTCTCTTCTGCCATTAGTTCTTGTAGAGTGGAAAATTTATCATTTGTATCTCTTACTCGGAACCAAAACAACCAAAATATGTCACCCCTTACGGAGGAGCTTTCATTTATTACAACATAAAGTATTTGTTTCCTGGCATCCAGCTTTTTGCGTACAGCTTGAGAATATAAATGGAAGCTGGACACAAACCCATGTAAATGTTTCTAGAGGAGACAGCCGACATGAGACCATAGTAAGCAACTTTTGGGGATTCCTTTCAAACATTCTAAATTAGAAGTTTTAGTAAGCAATTCGTACCAAAATTTTATTTGGTTGGATATGTTTATATGCCACCAGTTACAACCCTCATGGGCCTCAACGTATCATTTAACCTAAAAGCTTAAACTGTTAGGTAAAGTCTTTAAATAGGTTTTCATTCTTTTACATGTATTTCTTACGCAAAGCTTATTAAACTGAAAATGTGGACAAGCACAGGTTTTCATTCTTTAATGATGTCAACAAAGATTAAACACCGAATCATTTCGTTAGATAGGCTCTAATACTATCTCAAAGAACTATTCAATCTAAAAGCTTAAGTTTTTAGGTGAGGTCTTTGAATGGGTTTGCATTCTCTTACAATAGGGTGTCTCAAAAGAAACAACAACATGGTATCTTCTCCTAGATGTCAAAAAAAATGATGTTTTCCCAACAATGATCGCTTCCAATTAAGATTGTCTCTGCTTTTATGTGATGCTCTTATTGTGCATTTATTGTGGTATGTATCAAAATGTTTTATTTTTCCAACTTCCAATACAAAATTTAAGTACACTTTGAAACTAGAAGCGCCCACAGTGCCAAACACCGTCTTCATCAATTACCTCAATCAATTCATTGAAAATGACAGAAAATATCATCTTTTCTAAGCAGAAAACTTGGGATCTCTGGCCTCAAAGTGTATACAATTTTCACAAACCATTAGGATATGAATTGGTCTTTTATGTTTGAATTGAGCAATGCCTATTTTGTCAACCCTAGAAATGCAATAGAAATAGATTTGCTGAGTTCAGACAGCATGTCTATTCAACAGAAAAAAAAGCTCAGAGTAATTTTGTTTTATCTGATAAATTCGATTCATCTTGCACTTTTTTCAATTAATTAGATTGTTTAACCAAATAAAAGATTAGATCGCCCACTGTAATCTGGCTTCAACAGTCAAAGATACAGTACAAGAATAAACATTAAAAAGGAAAAAGAGAAAGGAATTGGACCAAAATTTCTATGGCAATGCGTGTCTATTGCACACGCTTGTTCATTTCTTAATGGTATGCCCT